TGATGGTTGCCAACGTATGAAAGGACCATATGGACTGAAAGAATTCAGATGTACAGCTAAAAAGAGGTATTGCTACAGCAGTAAAGTAGCTTCCATAATACAAAGTGAAAAGGATGAAAATTAGCTAATCAGAGGAGCCATAAATAGCTTTTCACATCTTCCTAGCACAAGTAAGGGCAACTGGGACCTTGTGGAAAGAACTGCTGCTAAAACCAATTAGGGGAGTCTCTGGGTAGGTCTCAGCTCAGCCAGATTGAATGTTATCACGTAGTTGCACTACTATGAGAAATTAGACCGCACAAAAGTAAAAATTATTTCTGGGAAAAAAGGGGGAGGAGGACCAGAAAATAAAATTTGGAGCAAGTGACCATACAAGAACAGGAAGAAATGATCTTATCCTCTTAAATCTGCAACCTCTGAAGAATTAAAAACATGAGCATGAATACCAAGGACCTTTAAAAAAAAATCTTAGCATAAACAATCTTTTCTGGTTTAACCTGGGAAACGCCAAAGCAGATGTAATACTTATTCTTTAAAAACTGGAAACCCTTTTGCAACACTTGCAACAGCTTAGCTCTTTTTCCCCTGAGAAGAATGTTCTGCACAATATCAGGTCACAAAGGCTTTTTTGTCCTTTTTTTTTTTTTTAAATTTGAATGTGGTGCAGAACATGAAGCAGAGCAGGACAAGTTCCTGATAAGAAGTGACAACTGGCCATGGTGCAGAGGCCAACTCCTGCCCACTGTCGTATGTTGACTGATAGAATTTAGCAGCTTTAGAAAACCCAAGTTTCAAGCTTTAACAGCAAACAGATAGAACTGCTTTACTAAAGTCATTGCCACTGGACTTAAAGAAAAAAAAAATACCCAGAAGTGATGCTTGCAAAGTGCAAAAGCAAATACATTTCTGGAAAGCAATAACAGAAACTCAAAGCTAAAGCAGGGCAGATGAGAAGGACTAGCAAGAGGTGGGCAAGGAGCTCCGCTCGCTGCCTCTGCTCCCCTGCGCGTGGGGCTCTGCGCTAACTGGTGCCACGTGCTGCTACGGGCTGGAGAAGGGAACACACTGTAAACCCATTTCAGTAGTGATGTGGCTTATATCTTCACATGAAAAATAGCACGTTGGTACCAACCAGAGCAAAGGCAGCGGATGGTTTGTTCACAGATGCTTTCCTCTGCTTCTGTTGTCTTCTGCTGGCTCTCTATCCAAGGCACTGTGGGAAACATTGCAAGGAACATCTTTTTGCAGCTACCT